TGAAACTATGTAGTTGCTTTGGAATCTGCCTTTCTTCAAAATGGTTCCACCTAAGACAGACTTTTTTTTTCTTTCCTCAAACCTTGGGCTGATAATGGCTCAAAAAGCCAGTATTCATGTCAATTGTTGTGTGAATGGGGATGACACACCTCATGCCATCCTATCTCAAAAACGCATGTGGGAGAGGGGCCTTGTGAAACTCCCTCAGCCTTGAGGTGTCTCTCTTACCTGATTAACTGCTTGCTAAAAGACATAAACCACCTTGCAAAAAACTAGCAAGGGGACATTCTTTTCCTGTTACCTTCTGAGGGTAACAGGTAGGAAGGCCAGAGGTCCCCAAGCAGCAGGAGGAAATAAACTGCAAGTGGCAGATTTTTTTTCCCCTTCTCTACATTGGGCTTCCCTTGTAGCTCAGTTGGTAAAGAATCTGCCTGCAGTGCAGGTGACCCAGGTTGGGAAGATCCCCTGGAAAAGGAAATGGCAACCCACTCCAGCATCCTTGCCTGGAAAATCTCATGGACAGAGGAGCCTGGTGGGCTACAGTCCACGGGGTTGCAAAGAGTCGGGCACGACTGAGTGACTCACACACACACACACACACACACGCAAAATTAAGAGGTTTCTTTTAATTCTGTGTTGACAACACCTGGCTCAGCATTGAGCTAACCAATGCGTTTTTTCTTATGTTAAAATTTCTCTTAAGCTATGCTAATGAAACTATGTAGTTGCTTTGGAATCTGCCTTTCTTCAAAATGGTTGCACCTAAGACAGACTTTTTTTTCTTTCCTCAAACCTTGGGCTGATAATGGCTCAAAAAGCCAGTATTCAGGTCAATTGTTGTGTGAATGGGGATGACACACCTCATGCCATCCTATCTCAAAAATACATGTTGTAGGAGAGGGGCCTTGCGAAACTCCCTCAGCCTTGAGGTGTCTCTCTTACCTGATTAACTGCTTGCTAAAAGACATAAACCACCTTGCAAAAAACTAGCAAGGGGACATTCTTTTTGCCACTTTCTGATGTCTATGTCAGAAGCTTTCTATTTCTCTTACACTTTAATAAGATTCTGTTTACACAAAATCTCCAAGTGGTCAAGCCTATCTCTGGCCCCGGATCAAAATTCTATCCTCTGGAGGTCAAGAATCCTGGCATAGCACACGGCTCACAGCAATTTTTCACTTCTAGTTACTGGTCAATGATTTGGAAGACAATAAAGTCCTGAGTGTTATGCCCGATGTCCGAATCCCCGAGCGGGAAGAGAGAAGGCTTCCAAGACAATGCAACTCGCAAAAAAAAAGAGGGAAGTTTATTGCTGACTCGAGTCAGGGCTCCCGTCGCACGTCCAATGAGTGGTACGGGGTCAGAGAGTGCTGAGCCCAAGCTGTTACCCAATTTATAAGGTGTGCATAAGCAGTTGGTAGCTGGCTTAAGCGGATTGCTTACATGTTTGCAAAGTAATCTTATTGGCCTAAACCTTCACGGGCTTTTTTCAAACTTGGGCGTTCGCGGGCTTTTCAGCTTTCCCCTGATAGGTTCCCTTTTTCTTGCTAGGTGCATGTTGATTGGCTGGCTCCAGGTTACCTGATGGGGGCGGGGAATCCCACCATTTCAGGGGAAACCGAAACCCAGGTCTGGGCCACCTGCCAGCCCCGGCAGCCCCACACTGAGTTTCATAGAACATACATTCTATTGGCAGAAAAGAAAATAACATGTAAATACATGGTAAAACTAGACTTTCAGATAAGTGCCAAGAAGAGTATAAGTCTAGTTAGGAAAATTATTTTAACAAAAGGTTATATTACATAACTATCTAGAACAATTCCATGTGTGGATCTGTTTACTTTCCCAGTGGTGTTACTCTGACAAAGTTTTTGGAGTTAAAAGGAAGAAAAAAAATGTTAGTTTAACCTTATTAAGGTTTGGTTTTCTGTGTCTGTGAAATACCCCACTGAGAACTTTGATTTCAGAGTGGCATGGGTTGGTCTGGTGTTCCGTTTTATGGTAGCAGTGGTAGTAAGTAGATTATGTGCGGCTGAGTCTTATACATGATGCTTCAGTTCTTGGATTGGCTCTCACATCCATAGGAAAGTCCTTCCCAACTCCTGACACCCATGCATCACAGGCAAGCACCCAGGGGACACAGTCCATGTTGTAAACTGCACTCCAAATAGCTTATGGTATGGACTGTAGCCAATCCTGGGCTTTCACCCACTTCTCCCTTCAGAATTAAAGGCTTATTTTTCCAGGTGCAGTCAAACAGCAGTCCTGGGCCTTCTCTTTAAGTACTGTGCTCAGCTAAGGAAGCTGCCTCACACAAGATCACATCACTTGGATCTCTTGTCATGGGAGCAAAACTGACCACCACCTGTATCCACCACTGTGCTTGCCCTGAGGTTGCTCCTGCTCCCAGCCACTGACTGAGCACATCGGGGAACCAGTGCTCATTGCCATGGTGACACAATGACACTGATCACCAGGGTCAGTTACCCTTGCCTGGAGGATGATTCCTGTTCTTAGCATGAAGAACCTGAAATGTCATGCAGTAGCACTGACTGAAGTTCAGTGGGACATTTTTCGTGTCTTTGGAAGTATTGTCATTTTAGGTGTCAAGGCTTTCAAACCTACAGGGGCCAGATATGTGGAGATCTGAAGCACAAATTCCTCATATGGCTCCTGGAGTGACCTTACAAGGGTTCACTTCTGCTATCAACCCTTGATTTCTGGATCCATGTCCTATAAACTGGAGACACAGCATATTATGACTGTCATTGGTTTGGAGTGTATAAAGCATTCTGTGAATTATGCACCCATAAATTCCTGTTGAATTCAAATGCTTGCACTAAATACCATCATTACACTTTAAGTTAGATGTGACCCCATAAATTCACTAAATTGTAGCTTTAACCTTCTCTTTTCAGAAACATTTAATTCACTCATCAATTTTACACTTTACAGTTTATTACTCCTATTGTTGAGATGTCTGCAACTAAAGAGGTTAAATAACTTTGTCAAGGTCACACAGATAGACCAAAATTCCATTCTAGAAAGCCTGGCTCAAGGTCCCATTGTCTAAACCACAACTCTATACTGTACTTCAGGAGAATTATGTATCAAAATTATTTTCATAAGAAGAAAAAATAATAAAGTTATCATTTATTAAGATGGTATAAGATGAGTATAGAGAAAAAGAGAGTGAGCCAGGCAGTCAGACAAGAAAACAAAACTTATTAGAGGGAAATGAGAGGGAGACTGGCTCTTAAGGAGAACCAGTGTCCTTCCTTTCTGATGGAGTGTTTCTTATGCCTCACCAATGAAAAATTTACTAAAGGGATGGTTAAATTTTAGCCTGTAGCTAAGTCCTGTGGTCACATAGCCAGAGGTCTGGAATCTGGTGGTCTTGTAGCCTTAAGAAGGTGGGTGCCAGTGGGCAAACACAATGTCATCTGGGTAATTTGTTCGGTCTCAAGGGTCACTGTGGTTTTATTGTTTGTGAGGTCAACATAATGAGCCATGTCAACCATGAGCCCCCATGGAGGCCCTATCATTCCAGCCTTTCTGATTTGGGATAAGGGCTGAAGGTCAATCTTCTATAACTGCTTCCTGTGGGACAGGGGTGTCGTGGGGGTAAGAGAATAAAAGGCTGGAATGTGAGTCAAGGGGATTTGTGTGGGGTTGAAATTTTTGATAATTTGAATGAGTTACAAGTAGCTAATGGATAATTTGGTTGGTGAAGGCTTGTAAGTGGTCCTGAAGAAATTTTGAAAAAGATTTATTAAACATGGGTCAAAAGTTAGAATAAGGCTAAGAAGGAGAGGGCCTAGAAGTTAGGACCCAGGGTATCCAATTCCAATTGCTTAGCCAGTTTTCCCATGAATTACTGAGGTGTTGACATATTCTGGGGGCCCTGTTTGTCAGATTTCTTCCTGCTTCCTTTACAATGCCTGATTTGTTGGCACAGTAGCAGCAAGCTTCCTCCAAAAATAGACATAGGCCTCTTTTTTTCTGCTGTGAGGTCTAACCTTCTTCTGTTTTGGAGGACCATGGCTGCCAGAGAATCTAGCTGGTTTGGGACAGTGATAAGGCTAGTAGTTATTTCTTCCAGGTTCTCAGTGAGGTCTTCAAAAAGGATTTGGTAGTAATTTAAAGAGGTTGTGAGTGAAGTCAATTTTCCAGCCGTCTCCTGGGACATATCCTCCTGTTGGGAATGAGGGAATAGGCCTTAGAGCTCCCTGCAGTGAGACTGAAGAGCAGATAATGCAAGAGTGACTGATTTGTTTTAGGAGTGAGAAGCTTAGGTGATAAGAAGTCTTAAGAGATGATAAAGAGGTTTAGTGCCTAAGTGTAGGGCCTGATGAATGTTTGTAAGAATCTGTGTGGACTGAAATTGGGGAAGGACATAGTGGCCCTGTTTTTGTAACCAGTCTCTTTGTGGATGGGCTCCCTCTTATAATAATCACGTTTTTTTTCTTCAGGGAGGTAAAGTGGCTTTATGTTGGGGATTACTATGAATTGTTGAGCCAGTGATAGGAGTGAGGCTTGTTTTGCTTCCCTGTCTGTAGCATTGTTGCCCTGTGAAATGCAGTCTGAGGCTGCCTGGTCACCTCGGCAATGTATGATGCCTACTTCAGTTGACATGTTAGCTGCCTTTAAAAGCTGGAGTATAAGCAGGGTGTTAGTTATGGGAGAACCTTTAGTAGATAGGAGCCCTCATTCTTTCCAGATAGCATCATGAGTGTATGATGTGGAAAGTACATTTAGAGTCAGTGTATGTTTGCTCTCTTGTTAGCTGCCAGGGTAAGTGTTCTAGTCAGTGCAGTAAGTTCTGTTTTTGGTAAGATGTTCCTGAGGGGAGAGCTTGGGATTCAATAATTTCAGTGCCAGAGACAATTGCATATTCAGGTACCTTTTTTCCTTCTGATTTTGTAGATAAGCTGCCATCAATATACCAAGTAAAGTCAGGGTTATTTAAAGAGATTGAGGAAATGTGGGAGAAATGGGGCTTTTTTTTTTTTTTTGCCTCTTTGCAAGTATGGATGGGGGGCACAGAAGAATTAGGGATAAGAGTGGCAAGGTTGAGAGTACGACAGTGTTCAAGGGAGAAGTGGGGAGATTCAAGAAGGGTAACATTAATTAGTTGAACATGTGAAGCAGACAGAAGGGTCATGGATTTGTGAGAGAGTAAGTCCTTAAAGTCATGTGGTTAATGAATGACAGTGGGTGGTTCAAAAGTAATTTTCTTATTTCCCTGAGCAAGGAGTGCTGCTGCTTCCAGAGCACATAGGCAGGCTGGCCATCCTTGAATTGTGGTATCTAATTGCTTTGATAGATAAGTGACAGGGGTGATGGAGGGGCCCTGATTTTGTCCCAAAACTCCTAGAGCAATTTTGTCTATCTCAATAGTGTAAAGGGGTGAGAAAGGTCAGGAAGTGTTAGTGCTGGGGCTGAGAATGACTTGCTCAAGGGTGTTAAAGCCTGAACGAATATTTGATTTTAGCTCTAAGGTTTATGGAAGACCCCCTAGGGTGGCTTGATATATGAGGGCAAAATTAGAAATCCAGAGGCATAGATATCCAGCTAACCCCAAGCAGGACAAGATCTGTTTTTGATAAAGGGAATGATAGGGTGGATATAAGGAACTTTCTATCAGTAGTTAATATATCTTTTAGTTAATGATAAAAGGACTCCAAGATAGGTGACTCTAGGAAGAGAGAACTGAACCTTGGTGGGAGATACTAAGTAGCCCTGACTGGCTAAAAATTGAGGAGTTGTATAGTAGTTGTTGAGAGTGTGTAAGTGAAGGACTACAAAGGAGATCATCGACATATTGGAGGACAGTACTCACAGAGTAAGATCAAGAGAGGCTGATGCTGGAGCTTGGCCAAAGAAATAAGGACTATCATGAAAGCCTTGTGGGAGGACTGTCCATATCAGCTGTTGGGAGCAGTGATGGTCTGGATTGGTCCAGATAAAGGCAAAGAGGTCTTGAGAGTCTGGGTGTAAAGGGATGGTAAAGAAGGCATTCTTGATGTCTAGAACAGTGAAGTGGGTATTGGAGGAGGAAATGAAAGAGAAGAGCATAGGGATTTGGAACTACTGGGTATATGGGGACAACAGCCACACTGATAAGTCTCAGGTCCTGGACCAGGCGATAGGAGTCATTTGGCTTTTTCAGGGGTAAGATAGGGGTGTTATAGGGAGAGTGGGTTGGGCGCAAGAGGCCATGACATAGGAGTTTAGTGACAATAGGCTTAAACCCTTGTTGATATTTTTAGGAGATGGGGTATTGTGGTTGATTGGGGAAATTTAGAGGGGTCTTTAAGATGGATATGAGTTGGGAGCATGGTGAGAAGTTGTATCCCAAACTATGGGGTTTATGGATAGATGTCAACTGGGAGGAGGAGGAGGAGGTGGGGTTGAGGACCAGTAGCCAGTTTAAGATCAGAGGGTGGGTTTGGGATAGTAATAGAGGCTTTGAATTTTGAGAGGTCTCTCCCAAGAATAGGAGTGGGGCATTTTGGGAGTATGAGAAAAGAATGAGAAAACAGGGTATCTTGAAGGGTGTAAGGTAGAGGCTCAGTTATTTACGGCATAGATACTAAACTGTCAACCCCTATAAGATACCTGAGGGTCCTTGGTTTTTCCAGAGTAGGTAGGCATAGTAGAGTAAGTGGCCCCCATGTCGATGAGAAAAAGAGATCGGCTTACCTGTCACTGTGAGAGCTACCCTGGGCTCCGCAGAGGTGATGAGAACGAAGGTGATAGCTTATTTGCACCACAGCATGTGAGATGCTTATTTCCCGCCCAGGTAACAGACCTACATTCCCCACACTGAAAGGGACCTGGTGACCCAGGTGTCACCATAGACTGAATTGTGTATGTGTCTAAATATGTTCTGTGATCAACAACTCTGAGCTTTGCTCTAGAGACAAGACATGATAGATACAGGCAGAAGGCAATCCCCAACTATTCCCCTTACTTTTTCCATTACCTTTGAGATAAGAATGATAAAATTGATTTCTAAATTCCGAAGTTTATGGGGTTTCTATCCAGTGTGGATGATAAAGAGTGAAAAATTGGTGAGTCTTGTCCGAAATTTATTACACTCAAAAGTATTCTCTTCTATGTTGAGTTCAAAAATGTTTAGTATGGGACCTCCCTGGTTGTCCAGTGTCAAGACTCTGCCTTCCAATGCAGAGGGCATGGGATTGATCCTTGGTCAGAGAACTAAGGTCTCATCTGCTGCAGATGCAGTCAAATATTGAAAATAAAATGCTAAGTATGATAGGAGGAATCAGCAAGAGCTTTCCCACATTTGTCACATTTCAGTGGCTTCTTTTCCAATGTCATTGTCTATAGAAAGTAAGCACTGAGGAGCAAAAAATGTTTACCCACGTTCCTTACACAAATATGGTTTCTCTCCAGTGTGACTTCGCTTGTGTGCAGTAACAGGCAAAGAAGTGGTAAATGTTTTCCCGTGTACATTACCCAAAAGGCTTCTCTCCAGTGTGCATTCTAAAATGTTTAGTAAGACATGAGGAATCAGCAAAGGCCTTCCCACATTTGTCACACTTAAAAGGCTTCTCTCCCGTTTGTGTTGTCATATGTCGAGTAAGGCCTGAGCATTCAGTGAAGGCCTTTCCACATGTGTCACACTTAAAAAGCTTCTCTCCAGTGTGTTTTTTCATATGTTTAGCAAGCTATGAGCATCGAGTGAAGACCTTCCCACATGTCACACTTATAAATCTTCTCTCCAGTGTGTGTTTTCATATGTTGAGTAAGGTATGAGGATAGAGTGAAGGTTTTTCCACATGTGTCACACTTAAAAAGCTTCTCTCCCATGTGTATTTTCATATGTCTAGTAAGAACTGAGAGTTGCGTGAAGACTTTCCCACATCTGTCACATTTAGCAGTCTTCTGCCCAGTATGAGATCGTAAATGTCTAAAAAGATTACGAGAAGACACAAAGCCTTTCCCACATGTGTCACACTTAAAAGGCTTCTCTCCAGTGTGCATTTTCAAATGTATAATAAGGCGAGAGGGGCAAGTGAAGGTTTTCCCACATTCTTGACATGTAAGGTTTTATTCCAGTGTGAATTTGACTGTGAACATAAAGGTGTGATGATGATCCAAAAGCTTCCCCACATTCCTTACATTTATAGGGTCGCTCTCCAACATAAGTGTTCATATGTTCAATAAGGTGTGAAGGGAGAGTGAAGGTTTTCCCACATTCCTGACATTTGTAAGGTTTTATTCCAGAGTGAATTCAACTCTGAACATGCAGGTGTGAGGACACTCCAAAGGCTTTCCCACATTCCTTACATTCATAGGGTTTCTCTCCAGTGTGAGTTTTCATATGTTCAATGAGGTCTGAGGATTGATGGAAGTCTTTCCCACATTCTTTACATTTATAGGGTTGCTTGCTTTCTAGTATTAGTTTTCATATGTCCAGTGAGGTGTGAGGATACAGAGAAATCTTTCCCACATTCCTTACATTTGTAAGGTTTTATTCCAGTGTGAAATCGACAGTGAACATGAAGGTATGAAAACAACCTAAAGGCTTTTCCACATGTGTCACACTTAAAAGGTTTCTCTCCAGTGTGTGTTCTCATATGTTGAGTAAGAACTGACACTTGAGTGAAAGTTTTCTGACATCTGTCACATTTAGCAGTCTTCTGCCCAGTGTGGGATTGTAAATGTCGAAGATTACTGGAAAACCAAAGGCTTTCCCACATGCATTACACTTACAAGGCTTCTCTCTAGTGTATGTTCTCATATGTTGAGTAATTAGTGAAGAACAAGTGAAGGCTTTCCCACATCTGGCACTAAATGTGCAGTCTTCTGCCTTGTATGAGATTGTAAATGTCTAAGAAGATTACGAGAAGATGCAAAGACTTTCCCACATGCGTCACACTTAAAAGGCTTCTCTCCAGTGTGCGTTTTCATACGTTCAATAAGGCGAGAGGGGAAAGTAAAAGTTTTCCCACATTCTTGACATTTGTAAGCTTTTATTCCAGTGTGAATTTGACTGTGAACATGAAGGTATGATGATGACCCAAAAGCTTTCCCACATTCCTCACATTCATAGGGTTTCTCTCCAGTGTGAGTTTTCAGACGTCCAGTGAGGTCTGAGGATCGATGGAAGTCTCTCCCACATTCTTTACATTTATAGGGTTGCTTTCTAGTGAGTTTTCATATGTCCAGTGAGGTTTGAGGATACAGCAAAGTCCTTCCCACATTCCAGTGTGAAATCGACGGTGAGCATGAAGCAATGAGAACAACCTAAAAGCTTTTTCACATGTGTCACACTTAAAAGGTTTCTCTCCAGTGTGTGTTCTCATATGTGTAATATCTGGAGTCAGCCTGACAGCCTTTCCACACTGATTAAACATGGGAGGATTTTTCCCCAGTAAAGGGTTTATTGTGTAGAGTATGGAAGCTCTTTCCATACTGATTATCTTCATAAAAATTCCTTCTATTTTCAGTGCTCCTGTGTGTCCTAAGGTAAAAGTGGTCACTGATGTCTTTCTCGTTTCGCTCACAGTCATACAGTTCCTGTCCACTGTGACTTCATGTCTGTGGAAAAACCAATGGATGATGATTTAAAGCTTTCTCAGACTCATTAACTGATCCTACCCATCTCCAAACAGAAATATGATTACAATGAAGATGATGATTTTTAACATCTTCATCACATTCATACAGTTCCTGCTCTGTTGATTTCTTTAAAGTTAAATGATGAAATCCTTCTGACACAATGAAATGCCATACTCTAATGGTAAAACAATTCATTGCAATTTCATTGATATGTGAGATCCCTGGTCCTGAAACTAAAAATGCATGTGCTCTGGAACAGCCAAGCCTGTGTGCCACAACTAATGAGCCTGCACTGTAGAGCCTGAGTGACACAACTGGTGAGTCTGAGGCCCTAGAGATCATTCTCTGCAACAAGAGAAACTACCCAATGAGAAGCCTGCGCACCAAAAGTAGAGGAGCCCCTGATCGCTGCAACTAGAGAAAGCCTGCACACAGCAACAACAACAATGAAGACCAAGATAGCCAAAAGAAAAAAAAAAGATATAACAAATAAAGAAACAAAAGGCTATTTTATGAGATCATAGGAAACTCTGATAAAATGAAAAGTAAGTATGTATAAGATGTTGAGGAAGTTACAGAGCATTAGAAACCAATGTCCTCAGCCTTCTGAAGGAAAACACATCTCACTAAGTTTCCTTCTTATAAACTCAAAACATACTAAAATTTAATTGACCTGGGAAGTTCTGTATAATAATCTCTCATCTTGGAGGATCGGTCTCTCCACAGTCTTCAACTCTTCTTTTCCAACCAAGATATTAGATTGGTTTGAATGCCTGATATCCTGTTCATAAGGAAAGATACATTAATGAAAAAGTACCTTCCAAACATGACAAACCTGCCCATGAATCAGGTCATATATCTAATCAAGTCACTAGAATGAATGTGGTACTATTTTTTAAACAGAAAAAAAAAAAAAGCAAATAGCCCCTCTTTCTGTGTCTAAAAAGAGACAGTATTTCTGGCCCATGAAAACATGTTCAGACCTATATGAACATTTACAAAGCACTGAGAATGCTATTAAAATAGGAAATGAAGTAAATGTAAAGGAGATGTTTGGTCTCATGGAGAAGCCACTAAACTAGTGGTTGCCAAATGAAGTGTCCAAGAGAATAATGTCCATTGCTTGTTAAAACAGAAATAACTGGGCCCAAATTCTAAAGTTTCATTCACTATGCCAAAGGTGAACTCTTGAGAATGCATATTTCAAACAAGAGTCATGAGAATGTTGTTCGTTCTCAGAGCACATTGTCACAGAGAGTATACTGGAATAAAACTCATTCCTTAGATATGAGTGTCTACTAGTTTCTATTGTGTTCAGATTGGCATCACCCATCTTGGAACATAGAAAGGACAGCACATATATGTCCGTTCCCTAAGAGTGTACTGGAATGATGGCAGCCTTACCTGCTGTGGTCAGGTTCTTGTAGTTTTCCAGCATCACATTTCTATATAGCTTTCTCTGAAAGGGGTTCAGTAAAGTCCACTCTTCCTGGGTGAAGTACACAGCCACATCAGCGAAGGTCACTGAGTCCTAAAACATCACACACAAAGTAGTTTCAGTAAAGTAAGATCTTCAACCATGTACAGTGGAGAATGAGGAAGGGAGTGTCAATATCAACAGAGGGATTCAAGGTCTGTCATCATCTGTCAGAGGACACAAGTCTTAGGTTTTCTCCTTTCCAGCCACACTCACTCACCATTGATATGGAACCAGTAACACAATCCTAAGCAAATTACACACACTTGTGCAAACTGATAGATAAATAAGTTCACTGAGAAATATTTACTCACTCCTTACCATGTCAGAACAGTCAAAATAAAAAACCCTGCAGTAGCAATCAAGAGACAATATCAGAAGATAATTACTGAAATACTAAGATCATTCAGAGTAATTCCTCATCAATATGAGAGCTTCCATACTGGGTGGAAATTTAAGAGGGACTCATACTGGCTTTATTTCTTTAAGAAGCTTTGGACAGAGGTCGCCCAGAAGGAAATTTTTCCATATAGCGCTTGCAGTAGGTCACTTTGTATAGGGCTATCCTATCTTCTTATCTGAGAACAATCTCTCAAACACTCAGACACCACCCTGTCTGCCTCTATCTCTCCCTCAGGATGGCATAAAGGGTCCTTAGAAAGAAGATCGAGGAGAAAAGAAAGAAGGCATGGGCATCCAGAGATGATCATAATTTCCATAATCACTGCCTGAGAGTCATTCGAAATTCCAAAATATCCCTGCACACTCATGAAATCTCATACTGAGAGGAAAGTTGGTGAAGTAGGACCCTGAGCTCACCTCCCCCTCAGGAACATATCAAAAATACATCTATATGGAGCCCCTCTCACTGAAAATAAACTGGAGATGGTCAGAATGATGTCCAAAACCAAGGCTATAAAAAGATCCACAGAGTAAGGTACAAAAGGAGGGGGACTGTTCTGGTTTTTGTGTTGTTGCCAAGCAAGAGTGCAAACTTGAGGGTATGCAGCAGATGTCAACCCAGCACTGCATCTGAGTAAGGTCAGTTAGGCCAGTGCTGGCATTTGTGGAGGTGGTGGATCAGGAGCTGTCTGTAACCTGACTGACTTCCTAGACAGTCTCAGTGTGTGTCTGGCCCACAAAAACCCTCCTGTTGCAGAGTTGCTCCCTCTAAGGCAAAGGTACCATTGTTGGGAGGAGAGTGAGTGCACACATGGAGGGAACAGATCTAACTCAGACTCAATACTCAGGGCTTTTTCTTCCAGCATCTTGGAACCAGACCTGGCTCCTGCTGCCACTGACTTGGCACTGATAGCCACGGTGCACAGGAGAAAAAGCAGCTCACACAGGGTTCTGACTCTAGCCCTTCTGTCACCAGCACATCTTCCCAACAAGACATAATGGATAAGAAAAGACATAATGGATACTGATTTCATTATACTTTTTGTTTTAGAGATACGGATAACAGTATGGAGATTTCTTAAAAAATTAGGAATAAACCTACCATATGGCCCAGTAATCTCGCTACTAAATTACACACGTACCCCAATGTTCATTGCAGCAATATTTACAAGAGCCAGGATATGGAAACAATCTAGATATTCACTGACAGGTGAATGGATAAAGCAATTATGGTATGTTTATACAGTGAATTTTATCTGGCCACAAATAGGAATGAATTTGAGTCAGTTGTAGTGGATGAATCTAGATGGTCTTATACAGAGTGAAGCAAGTAGGAAAAACAAGTATCACATGTTAGTGCATATATATGGAATCTAGAAAAATGATGCTGATGAACCTGGCATAGAAGAAACTTTGGACATTGCAGGGGAAGGTGAGGGTGGGATGTAATCAGAAAGTGGCACTGATATTATACACTATCAGGTATAAAATAGTGGGAAGTTGCTAAAAAACAGGGGGGCCAGCCTGGTGCTCTCTGATGACCTATGGGGTGTGGCAGGGGGAGAGGACGGAGATTCAGGAGGGAAGTGATAAATACACATGTGTGTGTGTGTACACACACACACACACACACACACACACACACGGAGGTATAAAGTCATGAATCTTTCATGCAATTATATGACAGACACCGACACAAAATTATAAAGCAAAAGAATTCTAGGGCTTTCAAGGTTGCTCAGTAGTAGTAAGAATCCACCCACCAATGCAGGAGACATGGGTTCAATCCCTGGATCGAGAATATCCCCTGGAGAAGGAAATGGCAACCCACTACAGTATTCTTGCTTGGGAAATCTCATGGACAGAACCTCAAGGGTCTCAAGGGTCACTGTGATTTTATTATTTGTTTGTGAGGTAAACACAATGAGCCATTTAAACAATGAGCCCCTATCAGCCAGGACATGGAAATAACCTAAATGTCCACTGACAGATGAATAGATAAAGAAACTGTGGTATTAAGACATTTATACAATGAAATATTACTCAGCCATAAATAGGAATGAATCTGAGTCAGTTGTGTAGTGAGGTAAATGAAACCTAGAGCATCTTATACACAGTGAAGTAAGTCAGAAAGGGAAAGCAAGTATCATATATGGAATCTATAAAAATGGTACTTATGAACTTAGTAGAAAATGAACTAGTGGACACAGTAGGGGAACATGAGGGTGGGACAAATTGAGAAGTAGCACTGACATATATACAGTATCATGAGTAAAATAGTTAGTGAAAGTAATTCAGTCATGTCTGACTCTTTGTGATCCCATGGATTATACAGTCCATGGAATTCTCTAGGCCAGAATACTGGAGTGGGTAGCCTTTCCCTTCTCCAGGGGATCTTCCCAACCCAGGGATCAACCCAGGTCTCCCACATTGTAGGCAGATTCTTTACCAGCTGAGCCACAAGGGAAGCCCAAAACAGTCAGTGGGAAGTTGCTAAATAATACAGGGAGACCTGCCTAGTCCTCTGTGATGATCTAGAGGGGCAGGATGGGGGGAGGGGAGGGAGATTCAGGAGGCAAGAGATAGGGATATACATACACACATAACTAGGACTGTTTGCAGTGTTGTATGGCAGAAACCAACACAAAATTGTAAAGCAACAAAACTAAAAATAAATAAGTAAGTGGCAACCCACTCCAGTATTTTTGCCTGGGAAACCCCACAGAAAGAGAAGTCTGGCAGGAGGCAGTCGCAGTCCATGGGGTTGAAAAAGACTTGGATATGACTTAGTGACTAAACAACAAATACTGCTAACTGAACTTGGGAAAAGAATGAAAGAACATAGTAAAAATGTAACAACCAACATAAACCTAAAAAGGAACCAGTCAAAAGTGAAGAATACAGTAACTGAAGTGAAAAAAAATCTCCAGGGGATCTTCCCAACCCAGGGATCAACCCAGGTCTCCCACATTGTAGGTGGATTCTTTACCAGCTGAGCCACAAGGGAAGCCCAAAACAGTCAGTGGGAAGTTGCTAAATAATACAGGGAGACCTGCCTAGTGCTCTGTGATGATCTAGAGGGGCAGGATGGGGGGAGGGGAGGGAGACTCAGGAGGCAAGAGATAGGGATATACATACACACATAACTAGGACTGTTTGCAGTGTTGTATGGCAGAAACCAACACAAAATTGTAAAGCAACAAAACTAAAAATAAATAAGTAAGTGGCAACCCACTCCAGTATTTTTGCCTGGGAAACCCCACAGAAAGAGAAGTCTGGCAGGAGGCAGTCGCAGTCCATGGGGTTGAAAAAGACTTGGATATGACTTAGTGACTAAACAACAAATACTGCTAACTGAACTTGGGAAAAGAATGAAAGAACATAGTAAAAATGTAACAACCAACATAAACCTAAAAAGGAACCAGTCAAAAGTGAAGAATACAGTAACTGAAGTGAAAAAAAAAAGACTAGAAATTATTAACAGCGCACTAGGTGACATAGGTAGAGAAGGAAATGGCAACCCACTCCAGTATTCTAGGCTGGAGAATACTGTGGACAGAGGAGCCTGGTGGGCTGCTGTCCATAGGGCTGCACAGAGTCAGACATAACTGAAGTGACTTAGCATGCACTGGATAAGGAAATGGCAACCCACTCCAGTATTCTTGCCTGGAGAATCTCAGGGACAGAGGAGCATGGTGGGCTGCCATCTATGGGGTTGCACAGAGTCGGACACGACTGAAGCGACTCAGCAGCAGCAGCAGCAGGTGACATAGGAGAAAGCACAACTGATCTGGAAGATAGAATAAAAGAAATTACTCAATCAGAAAGAGTGAAAGGAGAAACAAATTAAAAAAATAAGGACAGTTCAAGAATCATTGCTTTCATTGCAGTGGTCCTGGGTTGGATTTCTTGTTGAGGAACAAAGATCCTGCAGGTCACGCTATTTGGTGGAAAAAACAATAACAGCAACAGTTTAAGGAATCTCTGGGATACTATGAAGCATTCTAACATTTTCATTATAGGGTTATCAGAAGGAGAAGAGAGAAAGGGGTAAAAAATGTATTTGATGAAAATATGGAGCTGACTGTGGCTCAGATTATGAGCTCCTTTTTAAATTATTTTTTATGAGCTCCTTTTTTAAAATTTCAGGGTTAAATGGAAAAAAGTAGGAAAAACCACTAGACCATTCAGGTATGACCTAAATCAAACCCTTTATGATTATACAGTGACAAATAGACTCAAGATATTAGGTCTGGTAGACAGAGTGCCTGAAGAACTATAGATGCAGGTTTGTAACTTTATATAGGAGGCGGTGGCCAGAACCATCCCCAAGAAAAAGAAATGTAAGAAGGCACAATGGTTGTCTGAGTAGGCCTTACAAATAGCTGAGAAAAGAACAGAAGTGAAAGGCAAGGGAGAAAGGGAAGACTATACCCAAACGAATGCAGAAATCCAGAGAATACCAAGGAGAGATAATAAATCCTTTTTAGATGAACGATGCAAAGGAACAGATGAAAACCATAAAATGGGAAAAACTAGAGATCTCTTCAAAAAACCTGGAGATATCAAGGGAAAATTTCATGCAAGGATGGGCACAATAAAGGACAGAAATAGTAATGATCTACCAGAAGCAGAGGAGATTAAGAAGAGGT